GAGGCAAGAGGGAGAATACATTATTGGTGCATGAGTAGGTTATTTATCCGCCCTCCAAAAGGGTATCTAGTACTTGGTAATTGATACTCTCTAATATCTTAACTTACGTGAAACTCCTTGTATACGAATGCAAAGATTGTAATCAATTGTCCATTTAACCAATTTAACCTTATTAAATACCGGCAAATTAATGGTATCAAAGATAAAAACAATATGATTTGCTCTCTACCTTTATGTCCTCTTGCGGCATAAATTTTGAAATGTTAATTTTAAGTAAATTAACATTTTTTGTCATGTGACACGGAGGGGCAAAGTCTTGAAATTTGAAACTTTAGGGGGTTTATCTCGCAAATGAAAGTCCAGGGGGCTAAATGCCATTCCTCCCAAATTACAGGATGGTAATCTAGAATTAACCAAAAAAACAAAAAACAAAACGTAATTACTCATATCCACCGTCCCAAAATTGAGATTAAAGTTTCATAATCTCAAAAGGTTTAAAAGTTAATTTAATTAACAAGTTTTCCGTTGCCTTGCATCAAGGCACTTGACCGGTTGTCCCCTTGCTCTATTCTCTCTCCACGTTAGCTGTGACACAGACAACTGGAAAAGGCGAAGAAACTCTGAAAACCCTAGAAATTTACAGAAAATTTCTCGGAAATGCTCGATTTCAGGTGAGACACTGATCCGCCATGGTGAAGAAGCGCGTGCCGGAATGGCTGAATTGCTCTCTTTGGTCCTCCAATCCCCCTCTCGACGACGAACGCCACCTCCGATATGTTTCGAAATCAGCCAGCCCAACCACGGCCACCGCAAACAACGTCAACCCTCCGGATGAACCGCCAGTTCCCCAGCCTCCTCCCAAAGTCGTAATTCAACAACCGCCGAAACCGGAACCAAAAGATCCCCGAGAAGACGATGAGCAGAGATCTCCCAGTTTTTCGCCTGAAGAGGTTTCTCGTCAATCTCAGCTATTGACAGAGGTTGGAGTTTATAGTTTTTTTGTGCCTTTTGGGCTTATTTTGAATTACTGGGTTTGAAATTTTGACTCTTCTTATGTTGCTTTGCAATCAGCTCTCACGGAAGACAATAAATATGCTTGAATTGAGGAGATTGACATCGCAGGGTATACCGGATGGTGCTAGAATTCGTCCTACCATATGGAAGGTGATGACTTCTTCTATGAACTGCTGCAGTTCTTTGATTAATTTCCTGTTTACAAAGATACATTTTGCTGTTTTGCTTTCTTGTTTCCTTTTTCCCTGTAATTCACGGAAGTTTGTTCATCTTTCTTAAATTTAACTTCTCATTTGAGTTATGAATATTGGAAAGTTCGCTTTTTTCTTTGTTGTTGATAGAAGAGAAAAGTTCCTTAAATCTGATAAATAAATTGAATAAGGATAAATGATTCTACTTCTAATTGGTTGACAGCTTCTATTGGGGTATCTTCCAAATGATCGCGGGTTGTGGGCATCCGAGCTAACAAAGAAAAGATCACAGTACAAGCATTTTAAAGAGGACCTTCTGGTGAATCCTGTAAGTCGTAGTTAATGCTATTAGTTTTGACTCTTGATGTCTTGGGGTACTGCAGTCAACGACAATATCATCACTTTCCAAGATATTGACAGTGTATTCCCTATTTAACTATGGTTATTGAAGATGTCATACTAAATAATGATGATTGTCARTTTTTAAAGACTAAAGAATCTCCATCAATATAACAATCCCATCCCTCCTATATGAATGCATTTGGTCATTCACCACATTTTCTGTTGCCCTCTGGATTTCTAATGTTACTTGAAAGGATAATACCCTAGTTAATATGATTTTTGGGCAGGCATGTGAAAGAGGTAGCTCTTTAAGTGAACTGCATTTTCTAATGCCTAAGTTGCAACAYATTAGTTACCACATTGTTGAACATGTTAGAGCCAGTTCATTATTTGTTTCTTCTTTTCTGCTATTCCTAAGGACGGCAATTTCTACCCTACCTGGTCGGTACCTGCCCCAACGGGAGGTTTTTTTCCTTGAAATACGGATTTTGGGGCAGGGGCAGGTTTTGGGATCCCAAAACCCATATGGGTACAGGTAGGGTACGATATTAGGCTAAACCCGRCCCTCCCCGACCCCCATATTGTTGGAAGACATATGAACTTATGTACTAGGTGTTGAATGTAATAATAATTTGAATTTTACGTGAAGGATAATTGATAGTTTGTGTTTTTTACATGTCAATCAAATAATTGGAAATTGTAATTCTAGTTCATATTATTTTACTTGTTTATTACTTATATATAACAAGAACTAATAGGAAATTAGATGCAGGTTCTAAACCAACCCRTTACTCACCCCACCCTCAAATGCAGGGAAGGTAGGGTTGGGGAGGGTTTGGGTCAACCCACTATGGGTTTTGGAGAGGGTACGGGCTGAGATGTCTAGGGAGGCGTGTAGGGTCTAAAATTTACAAAACCCTCCCCAAACCCGCCCCGTTGCCATCCCTAGTTATTTCTTTTCTTTGCAAACTGGGAAATAAAAGTTGGAATAGAAGTGTAATGCAT